AGTATATGTACTACAAGAAGCCTTCTCCTTTTATCGTTTACTGTCGTTACTTCAAAGTTCTTTCTATTTTTCAGTTTACACTAATGGATGATGACATCAAGATAAAGAGCAGTAAAGAACTGATAAATATTAGTTCTCTAATAAATGTTATAAACAATAAAACTAAAAAAATATAAATTGTTTTATTTTACAACTGTTAACAACATCCTAAAAAGCACAAAAAACAAATCCATTTCAGTCACGAAAGTCAATGAAAAAGACTGATTCAAACTACAAACTAAATATTATTTGTACAATGTTTTTATAATAACATACTAAACATAGACACATACTAAATTAACTAAAATTCGCGGGTTACTCACGTGTATATACTGAGAAAAGCTCTACTAGTTTCGAACCACAGAGGGGTTCTTCCTCATGAGCAGCGTGCGCGGACGCGGCGACGTCGCGCAGCCTACTGCCTCTGTGGTTCGAAACTAGTAGAGCTTTTCTCAGTATATACACGTGAGTAACCCGCGATTTTTATATAGTTAATTTATTTGTACAATCATTATTTTCCTTATTGACTCCTATTTCAATATCTTAAGCTTAATGTCTAATTTTTCCGTCGTTTTTTTTTCTTTTTTATGTAATTGGTAGGCAAACGAGCAGACGGATTACCTGATGGTAAGCAATCAGCGCCGCCCATAGACACCCGCCAACGGAAGAGTTACGAGTGCGTTGCCGACCTTTTAGGGTTTAGGGTTTAGGAGATTAAGGAATTGAGGACGGATCGGGGAAGAAAGATTGGGCCTCCGGTAAGCTCACTCACACGGCAAAACACAACGCTGTGGTTGTCAACCCATTAGTGCCGAAGCTTGGCTCTCCCACACTCAAGTTACAATAATTTTAGTAAGTTTTTGATACATTGTTTTGTTTTAAATTGATTACGGTAAGTTGACAGCTTCATATCGATTTTAGGTAACTTTTAGTGACTTACATAATATTCATCATCATCATCATCAGCCTATAAGTGCCCACTGCTGAGCAAAGGCCTCTTCTCACACGGAGAGGGTTAGAGCATTAATCACCACGCTTGCTCAATGCGGGTTGGCGATTTCAAACTTATAATTAGAAATTATAAGTCCAGGTTTCCTCACGATGTTTACCTTCACCGTATGTCAGTGGTGTCTAAATAATCATAGAAAGTACATATAACTCGGAAAAAGTCACATTACAAAGCCAAGCTAGCTCCGCAAGCGAATGCCTCCGTCACTCCGTCAGACAGACAGACAGACACACAGACAAAATACTCCCAAAAAGTTTTTTTCTTTCTAATAATCTTTTTAAGTCTATATCTTTATCCAGTTCAGTCAAAAATACTAGATTTTAAGTAATTTATAGAATCAGGCGTAACTTGGGGGTAATCCATGACATTAAATGTTATGAAAAATATTTAGTTTTAATTCCCCAACAACAATCAAAAGGGTGGGACATACATAGGGTGGGATTGCATCCTGCAACAAGCCAGGATTTTTGTCGCGGAATTAAAACTTAATATATTTTTATAACATTTTAATGTACTTATAGATTATATCCAAATAAAATAAAAAACAAAACCAAACACAACAAATGAATTTTATTTTCTATACAAAATATAATCAAAGGAACTCAATAACTTACTAACATGTAAACCACACTACTATTTATTACTTAATCCACATTAACATATCCAAGAACATCATTATTTTTCAGGTTACACAAAGATTAACAAATAAAGAAAAGTCAAACCAAACGGGGGCAGAGTAACTGTTTACGTTTATCCAGCAGGAGTTGCGGGGCAAGCGCAATTAGGCATTGTGGCATCAGCCTGGTGGCCATGGGGGTGGATTTCAGTTCATTTCAGAATCATTTGACGATTTTCCCCTCATAAAAAAATAAACAACAAAGTGGTATATTTCACCGTCTCACCGCCCCTCCTCTGACTTCTGATTGTGACTCAACACGGATACTTAATTTTAAAATAAAGTAACCACAATTTGTACATATAATTAATATCACATTTTGAAAATAATTTACCACAATATTTTCGTAATTGGGTGATTCTTCACATCAATTAAAAAAAATTTAATAATGTCATTATCCTCAACCGAAAATTAACGAGTCTGCTGATTAAAACACAGATAATTATTTTATTAAATTAAATCTCACCACTGCTTACAAGCAACCGATTAAAAATATTGTATAAAATAAATTACTAAGATGCTTAAAAACCTGGGAGGATAATGACTTGTTAAATAAAAGTTAAGGTTTTTTGGAGAATCACCCAATTACTTATCACGTATTTAAAAATTATTAAATTGAGAACACCTCACACATTCGAACCTACGATAGTCGTGTATATTTCTATGTACTCTTTATACAGAGATTCGAACAGCCTAAAACAAAAGATACACGTCAACTGTTTTCGTCTTGCAAACGTTATTGAATCAAATGCATAGGCCAGGGGGGAAAGAGCTATACAAGTTGTCTAGCTCTGTCTCTTACCCACACTGAAGTAATATTAAAACAGTCATCTTTGAATGTCATGGTTAGCCACCAAGCTTGTGTATCGTATCTTGTCAGGTCCCATCATCGCATACCACCAGGCGAGATATTGGGCAAATCCAATGCAAATAATTAAAGGGTATTTAGATTATAAACTTATCACCTTATTACATATTTCAATTAACAAATAAGTAACGATTTATTTGGAAGTAATGTGGTAATCATCATCATCATCATCAGCCTATAAGAGCCCACTGCTGAGCAAAGGCCTCTTCTCATACGGAGAAGGTTAGAGCATTAATCACCACGCTTTCTCAATGCGGGTTGGCGATTTCAAACTTAAAATTAGAAATTATAAGTCCAGGTTTTCTCATGATGTTTACCTTCACCGTATGTCAGTGGTGTCTAAATAATCCTAGAAAGTACATATAACTCGGAAAAAGTCACATTGGTACTTGCCAGGCTTCGAACCCACACCCTCATGCATGAGAAGCGGGCGCCTTAACCTCCGGGCCACCACGACAACATACGTGGTAAAATAGTTGTAAAATGTGGTACAATGGTTAAATAAATAAATAAAATAAAATTTATTGATAACTTTTCACAAAAGATTGTTTATAATAAGCCATAAGCCATAGTAATTTCAATAGTTTTAGATATTTTAGATATTGATATAATGCAAGGTAATTACAACTTATACTAGTATTTTCACAATTATGAAATACTTGTTATTAACAAGGACTTACGATATTAAACTTAGTACTGAGTAAACCTGTGTTTCAGGCCATCACTCTTCGACTTATTTATATAACATAGGGTCAAATACAATTAGTATTACTAATGAAAAATATATTGTTTACGACTACAAGACTAAATATTATACATATATACAAAAACAGTTTTAAAATGTGGTTTCTTACGGACAAGCAACCAACATTGTACGATTTCTAGAAGTTTTTAGAAATAGATGAATTTACGCACTCTAGTACATAAAGATCGATGTGACATGACATATTTCACCCTAGTACGTACGGTATATATGAAAACATGATTTAATTCCACTTATTATTGCAACTAATGTTTAAACCAATTATGTAATGTAAATTATCCTATTTTATTCTCGAATCTTCTATTCTATATATTATTATATACTACTACTACTTTGGCACTAGGAGTTTGCTGATTACCATAAGGCTGCTCGGTCTGCCGTCTGCTCGTTTGCCGACCTATGATATAAAAAAAGAAAAAAGAAAACAACAGTCTTGCTGAGACATCACTACGATGCGCATGTTGCTTCTGACTTCGTGAACAACTGTCTCGCTGAGACATCGCTACGATGCGCATGTTGCTTCTGACTTCGTGAACAACTGTCTCGCTGAGACATCGCTACGATGCGCATGTTGCTTCTGACTTCGTGAACAACTGTCTCGCTGAGTCATCGCTACGATGCGCATGTTGCTTCTGACTTCGTGAACAACTGTCTCGCTGAGACATCGCTACGATGCGCATGTTGCTTCTGACTTCGTGAACAACTGTCTCGCTGAGACATCGCTACGATGCGCATGTTGCTTGTGACTTCGTGAACAACTGTCTCGCTGAGACATCGCTACGATGCGCATGTTGCTTCTGACTTCGTGAACAACTGTCTCGCTGAGACATCGCTACGATGCGCATGTTGCTTCTGACTTCGTGAACAACTGTCTCGCTGAGACATCGCTACGATGCGCATGTTGCTTTTGACTTCGTGAACAACTGTCTCGCTGAGATATCGCTACGATGCGCATGTTGCTTCTGACTTCGTGAACAACTGTCTCGCTGAGACATCGCTACGATGCGCATGTTGCTTCTGACTTCGTGAACAACTGTCTCGCTGAGTCATCGCTACGATGCGCATGTTGCTTCTGACTTCGTGAACAACTGTCTCGCTGAGACATCGCTACGATGCGCATGTTGCTTCTGACTTCGTGAACAACTGTCTCGCTGAGTCATCGCTACGATGCGCATGTTGCTTTTGACTTCGTGAACAACTGTCTCGCTGAGATATCGCTACGATGCGCATGTTGCTTCTGACTTCGTGAACAACAGTCTCGCTGAGACATCGCTACGATGCGCATGTTGCTTCTGACTTCGTGAACAACAGTCTCGCTGAGACATCGCTACGATGCGCATGTTGCTTGTGACTTCGTGGACAACAGTCTCGCTGAGACATCGCTACGATGCGCATGTTGCTTTTCGCTTGCTTGACGCTCACACTTTGCGCAAAAGTTTATATGTTCCTCCTTAATTTATATTGCCCGTATTCTGATTTTGAGCTCTGCTTATATAATGTTGTACTTATCCATGTCCTTGTGACATTCCTACTGCACCTTTCTACGGGAGTCGAACATTTATTTGCATTTGTCACACTATCTAACGTCGTCGTAGTACATATTATCCTTAAATCCATAGTTCGCTATGGACATTTCACAGCAGTTCTATTCCAATTGGACGTAGTACTCTATTAACTTATCAATGAAACCAATCATAAGAAGAATAATGGTGCACGCGAGCACCGTGCCTGTTTCATGCCGCCAAGCCGCGCTCACCGTTTCATGCTCGTAGACCACTTCATTTTGCAAAAAGTCTTCTTCTGGTTTCCCATAAACTTTCTGTTGTTGCAACGATTGGCCTGTACCTTCATACGACCTCATAGGAAGGCCGTCGTAATCCTCGAAGTCTGGATAGTTGGTTTCTGTATATTCATCATCGCCACCAAGTTTTTCCACACCAACTCCTTTACGGCGAACTGCTTGTTTTACAAATGTACCAGACTTGGATTCTTGATCAAATTTTGACAAATATATATACTCGGCCATACTTAAAACATCAGGTGCAACAGTAGTCTTTTTGGGGAGCTTAGGTCCGTATAATGGAGGCTCTCCGAACATCTTAAAATTAAGCACTGCCTTGCCATGAAACTCTAATCGTATGTACAGATCATAACTCAGCACCTTACCAGTAGGCGGTCCCCCATGCAAGTATTGCACCTGGAGTCGATCGACTAGTAAAGTACTATTTGTAGCACCTGCTCGATTATCTTCCCAATCCCAACGGTCTCTATTTGGGACTCGAGGCATAGCTCCCAATCCAAGCCCACCAACTTCTACTTCCTCATATTTGTGAGGTTCACCATATCGTTTTGGTGTAACTCGGTATCTTCCATCCTGTATAGGATAATGTATACGCGGTCCAAAGTTAGCTGAATCCACGACTTTAAATGCATTAGGTTCAGAATCAGGTCCATAGTTGCCATATTTATCGTGAGATTCGCCTGGTCTTGGGTAGTTACCATATTTATCAGTAGGTTTACCACCTGTTCCTATGCCATATCTGTCATCGCCTATGCGCTCATCGATTCCAGAATCTGCGTCGTAATCATATTTATTTTGGGGTTTATGATCTTGTTTGTAGGAATCATATCTATCTCTGGGTCTACCACCAGGTCCGTAGTGATCAGGTCTACCACCGGTTCCATATTGGCCAGGTCTACTACCACGCTCATAGTACTCAGGACTACTACCATATCCTTGGTGACCAGGTCTGTAGTGATCAGGTCTACCACCATGCCCATAGTGATCAGGTCTACCACCGGTTCCATATTGGCCAGGTCTACCACCAGGTCCATAGTGATCAGGTCTACCACCATACCCATAGTGATCAGGTCTACCACCAGGCCCATAGCGACCAGGTCTACCACCAGGTCCATAGTGATCAGGTCTACCACCATACCCATAGTGCTCAGGTCTACCACCAGGCCCATAATGTCCAGGTCTACCACCAGGTCCATAGTGATCAGGTCTACCACCATGCCCATAGTGATCAGGTCTACCACCGGGACCATAGTGGCCAGGTCTACCACCAGGTCCATAGTGATCAGGTCTACCACCATACCCATAGTGCTCAGGTCTACCACCAGGCCCATAGTGACTAGGTCTACCACCAGGTCCATAGTGATCAGGTCTACCACCATACCCATAGTGCTCAGGTCTACCACCAGGCCCATAATGACCAGGTCTACCACCAGGTCCATAGTGATCAGGTCTACCACCAGGTCCATAGTGATGATGTCTACTACCAGGTTCTAATCGATATCGAGCAATAGGCTTTCCACCACGTCTATAGTATATAGGTCTAACGCTGGGTCCAGCAGGTCCATAGTAATCATATATATCCTGGTTTCTAACAGGTCCATAGTCACCAGGACGATCTCTGGGTTTACCGTGCGGTCCATAGTAATCATGTATATCCATGGGTCTACCAGGACGAGGTCGATCATACCTACCTCCGGGTCCATAGTAATCATAGTTATCTTGGGGTCCATATCCACCGGGTGGATATTTGTTGTTTTCTTCATGTAATGGTTCGATGGGATACACTCTGAAAACTTCATTAGGCGACTTGTCCAAGTCTTCTGAAGTGAAATTGATTTCATCCCTTAGTGTTAGGAAAGCCTCCGACCGATTTGCACATTCCACCTAAAAAGCAAATAAAACTAGATACAATACCAGGAGGGCATTTAAACATAACGACGTAAATAATGCTTATTAGGATCGGTATCATCGCCAGATTTAAACAGCGGAACTACTTTGCTATGTTTCATCAAATTTTGATAAACTCTCTGATCTACACTTCTTTTATAAATTAAAGCTAAATAAGGCGCTGTAGCTTCTATAAAAGACCTACACCGCAACATACATTCCCCAGAGATCCTCTGTACACTTTAATGTCTTTAAACGCCTTTATTACTCATTAGGGGTTGGTGTACTGAAATTGGAAATCAGAACGGCATTCTTTAATATTTCTTTTAAGTGCTAACTAATTGAAGGTGCAGGAGATGATTCTAAGTCCTTCGTAGCTTCAATGGGGAAATTCTTGAAAAAAAAATTCGAATTCATGTGCAGCTTCCCGATTTACACTAACATGTCCATTTCCGGTATTTAAATTAAATTCCGTGTTATGCAACTTATTTCTGCCTGTCTCGTTGTTAATTATTTTACATAAAGCCTTTGTTTTATTTTCAGCGTTGACGAAGTAAATAATGCTATTACGAATGTTCATAACTGGTCTACAGTTAATAATTTAGTCCTAAACGACAAAAATACAAAGTGTATACGATTCAGTTAGCCAAATGTTAAAAGTAACGAATGTGACATATTATTAAACGGTAGGAAATTAGAATTTGTAAAACAGACTACTTTTCTGGGTATAACCATAGATGACAAACTACAATGGGGGCCCCATATCACATCTCTGGCAGGACGGTTGAGTCCTGCTGCATTTGCTGTCTGGAAGATCCGACAGCTAACAGATGTGGACACTGCAAGACTGGTGTACTTCGGCTACTTTCATAGCATTATGTCGTATGGCATCTTGTTGTGGGGACAGGCTGCTGACATTGAGTCTATCTTTGTCTTGCAAAAGCGTACAATCAGAGCAATTTACAACCTAAGGCTTCGCGAATCTCTTAGAGAAAAGTTTAAAGAGATCAACATTATGACTGTGCCCGGTCAGTTTATTTATGAAAATATAATGTATGTTAGGAAACACTTAATATTATTTAATAAGGTATCAGACAGACATAATTACCAAACTAGACATAGAGATAGATTGTGTCAGCCATTATTTAGATTGGCAAAGGTACACAAGTCGTTCATGGGCTTCTGCGTTAAGTGTTATAACAAAATCCCAGGCGAAATACAACAATTAAATGAAAGAAATTTTAAATTATGTGTAAAGAAAACTTTGTGTAAAAAAGCATATTACAAACTGAGTGATTATATTGAGGATAAGGATGCTTGGAGACGGGCTGGTCCTGCTCCACACGATTATATACCTACATGAAAATAAATCGTGTTCCAGTGGATCTTTGCTTGAACTTTATTTTTTTTAATTTAGTAAATTTGTAACCATGCCATTTTGATTGTTAAACTTGGTAGATTTGTAAATGTCAGTGCCCTGTAACCTATTACAATTAGTTAGACTAGCAGAATGTCGGTCCTTATGTCACCTTTTTTTTTTTTTTTTTTTTTTGTGAGGGGAAAATCATCAAATGACTTCTCCCGCCCAGGGCCGGGCAGGAGGGAGTGTCAGACTCTTACTGACTAAAAACCCCCCTGTTCCTTCTCCTGCTCTGTGCCGAGGTCGCGGTACCTCATTGCGCTTACCCCGCAACCCCGGCTGAATCCTTATGTCACCTTGGAGTTGTCATGCTCACTCAAATGTCACATTGGCGGTGGCACGGTCACTGTATCGCTCGATTCCCTATATTATAGTTGAGTTGGGCGATGCTGGTGCACGTGTCATGTACGTGAACGGGCGCCGTCAATTGGGACTGGTCAGCTCCGGACTGTCTTTTGTCCTTAAGGTTTTTTTCTTTTTATGTTTCTCTGTATATACGCGCGTTACACTGTTCTCACATAATCAAACCAACTGAATAATGTATCAAATAATGTTTATGTGACACTGATTTAAAAAGAGTAACCATGGAGTTTCTTGCTCGTTCTTCTCCATCGGAATCTACACTTTGGAACGAGCAAATAGCTTCACTAAGAGGACTGACCGACAAACTGACACTTGATATCTTTAAAATTTTGTTTGACGTTCAAAAGTGCCTGTATGGGTCTAATTGAAATAAATGATTTTGACTTGTTTGACATACGTAAACCCTTTTGTAATCATATATTAACAGCCTTACTTATAATTTATACAACCTTATAACAGAGGTATAGCAGATTCATTACTAATAATCGACCTTTTATTTTACACGTGTACTCAGCTGTTATAACGGTTGTGTGAATTGTATGAAATGCTAGACAAAAGTGGTTCAGGGTACTAGACCCTAGTGTAACTTATGAACAATATACCATTAACTGTGCGATCCTTCGAGGACCTACTTGGAGGATCATCTCCTTAGCAAGCGACAGGTTTCCGTAAGGTTTGGTCTGCTGGTGATCTTCTAGTTTATCTGACACACCTTTGGGCAAAGGTGATCGAATCTAGGGGGGAGGCGATGGCGGTCAGCTTGGGGTTTCAATCGGGTTTGGCATAAATGGCTTCTTTTCAAGCTACCTTCCTAAGGGATTCCCGAGAAATTGAACGTATAAATGGGTATCCAGCTTCCTTGCAGATAAAAGTCATGGTCGAAGGTGAATGCTCTGGTTATATATGAAAGCTGGTAGAACTCAAGGCTGCGTGCTACCGCCCACTCTGTTCCTCCTCCATATCATTAATATATTGCTAATCAGTGGCATTCATTGTTATGTGGATGACAGCACGGATGATGCCTTTTACGCCGGTCGTGCTAACATTTCTCGGGAAAAAGTCACCAAGAGTCCAAACCGTCTTGTGTCTGAAATCGAGACCTCTTTAGAGAGGGTCTCAGATTGGCGTAGACAAATTTAATTGAATTTAAGAATTTAACCCCACAAAGACGGAAGAAGGTCTGCATGTTCGCCTCAAAGAAGCTAGATGTGCTCAATAGATCGAGGCAGTATTTCGCCCCGCAGCATCGCCTGCTATTTTACAAGACGCAAGTTTGGCCCTATATGGAATACTGTACTCATCTTTAGGCGGGGGCACCCCAGTACGAGTTTCTCCCTCTGGACCGCATTTAGCGACGAGCTGTCCGAATCGTTGACTGCACTGTTATCGGTTCGACTCTTTAACACTGCGTAGAGATGTAGTCCCGCTATGTGTTCTCTACCGCATGGGGGAGTATTCAAAGAAATTGTTCGATTTGATTCCCGCCGCATCTTTCTACTGCAATGCGCCTGTACGCTGCAGGTGTCCATGGGCGGCGCCTATCACTTAACATCAAGTTATATGTCTGCTCGTTTGCATTCTATTCCATAAAAATGAATTAAATTTCGAGAAACTACCAAAAAACAAAGAAAATATATTTCACTATGATACCTACGCTTTCATTAGAAGATGCAGAGTTTAAAAGAAAATATAGATTAAGTATGGAAGAAATATTGCCTTCCGGCAGGGATTCAAGTCTGTTTGTTTTTTAGGATAAGTCGGCAAACGAACAGCGTTTTGTCTGATGGCAAGCAATCAGTGCCGCCCGTGGACGACCACAACACCAAAGGAGTTATGAGTGCGTATCCGGCCATTTGGGGTTTTAAATTTTTATGGATTAGAAAGGGATGAGGGAGAGGGATTGGGCCTCAGGTAACCTCATTCAAACGGTGAAAAACAAAGCTGTAGTTGTTTCACGCCGGTTTTTATTTTTACCTTCATTTACATCGTATCTTATTCACCAGTGTCTCATTCAGCCTCTCATTTAATCCATTTGCGAATGTTGAGTCAAAAGGGAGGAAACAACCTGGCAGCGTATGGCAGAGTGGAAGCAACGACTGTCGCAAAGGAGGGGGTGGAGCGCGTGAGGGAACTATCCTCCTCGCGCCCCAGCCACCGCAGTAGGCGACATTCCAGGGGTCGGGAGAGACAATCTCCGGCCACCGTAAGCGCGGGTCTACGGACGGCGCGTAGCGTTCCGCACGTGCCTCAAAGAGCCAATAGACCACCATAGACGGGGCCCTATAGGGCTGATGTTTAGCCGGGGTTGCGGGTTAAGCGCAATGGGACACCGCGACCTCGGCCCAGAGCAGGAGAAGGAACGGGGGGGTTTTAAGTCAGTAAGAGTGTGACACTCTCTCTCTCGTCTTCCCTGGGCGGGAGAGGACATTTGATGATTTTCAAATTCAAATTATATTTCAAATTATATTTTCTACGAAACATCTTATCATCATAAATGTCAAACGAATTTTTCCTGATTTCATATGTTTTAACATTTCTCACACGGTGCATTTGATTTATTAAATTATTAATTGGATTAACTTCTTCTATTGCTCTAATTCCCATTGTATAATCTAGGAAAATCTCCAAAAATATCTCATAAACAATGCAATCGGCCAATGAATTTGAGGTTATACCAGACTTATACTAGGGTGACGCCTGGAATAACATTAGTTAGAACAGTTACGCCGACGTAATGCACGGTCTGAGTTATTCCGCGTTTATTAGTAGATTCTTTTCTTATTCTTAGTTTATTTTCGGTATAATATTTTATACCACGTTTATTTGTACCACTGTTAGGTTATAAATAAATACAGAGTAAATAAAAAACAAAAGAGCTTACCGAGAGAGTGACACAGGAGCAAGCACCTATCTTCACATCGTACATTGATAACTGAAAATAAAGTTTTTTTTTACATGTGGCGATGCAGAATAATAAAAAATAAAACATTATCGGTACCTTTAGACAAACCTTTTTGGTTAAAAAGAAAAAATTGAACAAACTAAAATTTATAATCTTTAGTGCATACCTACATGTATGATATCGCATAACAGCTGTTTAGAAAATCAGGGCACATTTATATAACCAGGGATGAAAGATTAGCTAATTTAAAAACGTCACCTATTTTCATTATCACCGTATAGGGGCCCACTATGGCTGAGCAAAGGTCTCATCTCACACGGTGAAGGTTTTTTGAATGTCATAAGTCGGCAAACGAGCTGACGGATTACCTGGTAGTACGCAATCAATGCCGCCCATGGCAACAACGCAGTGTGGATTTGGATATTTAGGGATTGGGGGAGGGGAAGGATTGGGCCTCCGGTAACCTCACTCACACGGTGAAACAAAACGCTGTGGTTGTTTCACGCCGGTTTTCTGTGAGGCCGTGGTATCAATCACTTCGATCGAGCCGACCCATGTGTGCCACAGCATGGCTCTCCCACACTTTAGTTTGATCATTAATCACCACGAATGGTCAAGGCGGATTGGAATATCAAACTAATAATGAAAAATTATATTCCAGGTTTCTTCACGATATTTTAAACATACCAACAACTTATCAGGTCTTTGTTACCCTCTCCTACTCTTAACCGGATCAAAATCATCCTTCACTTGGCCCTCTGTTTGGGTAAATTATGTCGGGGGAATTTTAAAATCATTTAAGCGTATGTTGAATGAGCCGCATTAAGTGCTTACAATCATTCATTCGCTCCAAAACGTACTGTTTTTCTTAACAGCTAGTCGTGCGTATTTTCGAAAAATTTGGCTAACTGTTTTTTTGTTTTTGTTTTTTTAAAAAAAACTTTGCTCCTCACTAGGATTTTCTCCTGTGTCGTGGGTGCGTTAACAAACATACAATTCCACATAAACATTACACCCAGACCCGGAAAAACAATTTGTGGATCACACAAAGAGTTGTTCCGTGCGGGAATCGAACCCGCGACACGTTGCGCGGCAGCCAGTTGCCCAGTCACCGCACCATCCGTGCAGTCATTGCTAATTGTCAGCAAATCGTTGTACTACATTATTATTTACACTTTGCAAAAAAATGAATGAGGCATACTCTGTATGTGACGGTACCGGAGACGGACTGGGAGCCACTCAGTAAAAAATTCTCTTGATACATGAGCATTCGAGGCGACTTGCACGCCTTGTGGTACATCTCCTGCGTTGTTTCGACTGGAAACAAAATAACATTCGCATAATCGCTAATGTACAGGAACATAATATGTCAACATTGGTTTCACAGAATTGTCTGCACACACACACACACAGACACACACACTAACATAAATATAATTATAATGTTTGCCAGTCACCCCCTGCCTGTTTATCCGTATGTATCAATATTGGTCAGGGGCAGGGGCCATAGTATTTCCATAGTTATCATATCCTCCAACAACCGGGGATTGTCCTTGGGTGCACTTTCATAGTGCATACAGGAATAATTGCCGGCTGATGTCCCATCTCACTTATATTAAAGTTGCTCAAAGGGCCTCTGCGAGTTGGCTTCGGCCCCTCATACGCCTTCCAAAAGTCCGGGACCCTGTGGTCCCGTAAGTGGAAAGGAACATACAAAATAATAATAGCCTTTATTTCAGATCGACATAGCTTAACCTAGTAACAATATTTTAGAGCAAACATAAAACTTAGAGTAAAATATTTTAGTATTTGCTGATCGGCAAAGGCCTCCTCAACTTCTTCCATTCAGTTTTCTTTCTAGAGCCACTCTATTCCACATCACTCCTGCTACTTCTCGTATGTCGTCGTCCCGCCTTTTCTGTGGTCTGCCTCTTTTCCTCTTACCTTCCCTGGGATACCACCTTGTCACCCTCTTACTCCATTTATCATGACCTCTTATTGTATGCCCTGCCCATCTCCATTTGAGTATTTAAATTTTTTACTACATCTATGGTTCTTAGCTTTTTCCTTATGACACAGTTTTTCAGTCTGTCTGATCTTTTGACATTTAGCAAGCTCCTTTCGATAGCGTGTTGGCAAGTTGCTAGTCTGTTAGTCATTTCTCGGGTTAAAGTCGGGTAATATGTAGGTGTTAAATAGTTTACCCTTAATGTTATTATGAAGTTGATTGTCTTTCATGGTCTCCTTTAAATCTAGCACGCTGCACCGTCTACATTAATCCCAAAACTATCCCAAGTGAGTTTTCTAAAGATTGATTCCAGTACAGCTGAGAATACTTTTGGGGATAGAGGATCTCCTTGTCTAACGCCTTTTCCTATTTTGAACGTCTGGCTTTTCTTTTTTAACTGTATTCTAGCTGTACTATCACTGTATATGATTCTTATTAATCTTATGTATTTGAGTTCAATGCCTTGTTCCACTAATGTTTCCAATATATTTTTATGTAGAAGAGAGTCAAATTCTTTACTGTAGTCGATAGAGAAAATGTAATATTTGAGCTGATATTCGCTGTATTTCTCAATAACTTGACGAACCACATGGATGTGTTCGATCACCGAGTAACTTTTTACGAAAACTCGCCTGCTCCATGGGTTGGTGTTCGTCTAGCGTTCTTTCGATGCGTTTTCATATTTTTGACATAAGACTGATATGGCGATAGTTCCTATATCATGTTTATCTCTTTTTTATACAATAGGATAATGTTAGATTCTGTCCATTTTTGGGGAATTATTTCAGTGTTGAGAATATTGTTGAACATATCTCTAACAACAGGTGCTAAAACTTCCTTTCCTTGTTTTAAGATTTCATTGCTTCTGCCGTCTGGACCTGGTGATTTTTCTGCCTTTTGGGTATCTATGGCTTTCTCGACTTCAGCTTGAAGAATGTTAGGAATGTTTGATACACCCACTAAATCAATTTCGTCTTCTGTTCTGTCACTTTCGTATCATCTTTTGTAATAAGATGTAGCTATATCCATTATTTCTTTTCTGCGATGCTTCCATTTTCCACTGTCGTTTTCATTGTAACAATCCAATCCTTTGAATTCCTCAGTTCTCTGTATGCTTTTTTGATTCCACCAATTTTGCTAATAATAATTTTTAAATTCAATAATTTCGATTCTGTTTTGTTTTATGTCTTTTCTGTCACAAAATATATTTAATGTACAGAATTGACCTCTCTACAGATTTATTATAAGTAGGTAGTGCAGGTTTATTAAAATACAAGCCTAGTAATTATAACAAAAAGACAATTCATTATGTGCAAGATTTTTTCAGGCTCCTCCTGTGTGTATTCTACTTCGTTGTACGTTAATGTTGTATGTTATAATGATTGTAACTTTTATTTGCATTACGAGCAGTTTTCTTGAGATTTTACAGAATTTTGTTGTATAACCTTGTATATGCCATTATTTTATAATCTCTGTTCCACAGATTATAAAATAAAAGGCAGATAGAACATGCATCACACGAAAATGAAGCCACCAAAGCAAATACAAATTCGAATACAAACTCGAGTCAGTACGTCACGAAGCTTCACATCGTTAATGCCTCAGAGATAATAATAATATTTTTGAGAATAATGCCATCTTGTGTTCTCAAATACTGAAAAATTGTTACCAAAAATAAAAATAAAGAGATTTCTATATTTTATATTATTTGTATATTATTTTACGTAATTAATTTTAGTGAAATCTTGGAGCACAAAACCTCGGTCGGTGCTGCTAAATCTTTAACCCTTAAGTTGGGTAATATTTTGGGAAACAGGATTATCGATTTACAAATATATTTAGATTATGATGTTTTGTAATATATTCAGATAATAATAATTTTATGACCATGGGATTGCACAGCAGCAATATTATACCTAGGAAATTATTGCAAAACAACGGGTGCTAATTAATAATAAATAAATAACTGCTAATAAATAATTACCTATATTGTCTTCACAATTATCAAATTATATTTTTGTATTTTTTTTTTTGCAGAGATAATGACGCAAGATCATTCAAATAATTTAGGACCAAGAACTCTGCCCTGGGGAACCCTAAAGGGCCAAGGAGAAGAAGGATACCTGGAGGAGCTAACCAGGAATCTAATTTTCATACAATTTTAGATACACATCTCAACCAGACCCGGAACAGGAGCTGTCACCAGCCACCGCGCCAACCATACAATCGAAAGTGTTAATCCACAATGTTACCGATTGAATTGTTGTTGAATTATTGAAATCTGACATTGAAAATATAAAATTTTGTTACACAACTCCACATAAAAAGCGTATTTAATAACCCCGCCGCTTACTTACTATCTTAAGAAGTTACGAATTTGTGTGTGTGTGTGTGTGTTCTATCAAATAAAACAAATGAAAACTTACACGGGTATATAGCGATCGCATGTTTGTCCTCGTAGGAAGGTTCGATGGTAAAATATTTTAATTTTGTTGGATCGTAGAAATCTGGCCAAGTGAGGTAGTCGTGTCTGAAGACGAACACACTCGACGACTCTGAGGGAGGGTTGATGACTCTGCAAAAAAATATTTACTTTTTCACACAATTTACAATACTAGAGTGAACGGTGGGCTAACGCATTAGTATGCCATTACTTAGCCATTCTCTAAAAGTCAGATGTAGAAATCAAGCGGCAAAGAAGTCCAGACATAGAGAGCGCGTGCTGTGATTATCCTCTGTACCTCCCAGTCGCTACAGAAGGTGACGTTACGTTGCAAACTGCGGACGGCGAGCAAGGATAGCATGACTGACCATTTTGATGGCGTTGTAAAGAATGATCACATAGATATACACAGAACGCCGCTCAAACCAAACTAAGGTCAGATCACTTTCAGAGAGCCCATATGAATGTGTTATATATAATATATTATTGGTAGTAATATGCTTCTTGCCAAAGCTAGAACTGGCTACTATTTCCTGGTACACTCAGTTATTGTGTCGAGTTCTTTTTCATACAATAATAATTATCCTATTATAACAACATTAACAATTAGGTTCGAGATAATGTGCTTTATACTAGAGCTAGTATGGACGTTCGGTACGTTAGTGCGTTACAAAGAGGTACGTACGATGTGATTCCATGCATATGTACTTCGACGTCGTCGTCGCCAGCTCGCCTGGCGCTCTCTTCGTGAGTCACCGACTCGATCCAAGAGAAGTAGTGCAGCATGAAGACAAAGCGAGCTGGCACCCCACACCCCGGTCCGTGCAGGCTGAACCCAATCTGCAACTTAATCTCACTAACTCAACTGTACTCTACTCAAACATCATTCAATTTTACATAATATCGCGAAAGATGGATTTTACGCTAGATCTATATCTTTGTAAAGAGTTTGAGGCACGCCATCTTCTCATTTATTTAATAGTAGTCATTCTTTTGCTTTTGAGTCAACTGCTAAACACTATGCCACGGGCTCATAATGCTTCGGACACATAAATTAGGTATAAAGACCTTTTTTAGCATTACTTAACGACTTGCAAGTGAATAAGTAAACCAGAAAAACTGAAAAAAATATAATTACTATCGCCATAATGTTAAGTTGGGGAAAAAGTCTTTTCTCATTATAGTATGTATGTATGAACTTGTAATAAAATCTTTTTAGGTATACTATTTGTATCTGGCTGGTTTTGGTATTTATTGAAATTTTAAAGAACATCCAAATTCGATAAATGTGTGATTTTTGTTTGTCAAGATGTAAAAAAACTTAATCTTTTAAAACTTCAAACAAAAACAAAGCAACTCGTGAAAAAATTTACACTCAACTTAGTTTAACGCTTTCAATTCGAAAATTTTGGTATCAAAATGTACGTCGCTCTGGTCGCCCTATTAGGTTAGGTATAGCATGGATGCTATTTTGAAAATGTGGAACGGAGTCGGTATGTCGGTAGTCACGACGTGGCTGAAGATTTTTATTTCAAGTGTGGGAGAGCCATCGTACATTCTACAATTCGAAAAGTTTTTTCCCCAACCTGATATTTAGTAGGGACGACACTAGAAACAAAAAATGTGTTACAAGAACCTGGACCGTTTATCTTGTGCCGTGGGTACTTCCACAAACATACACATCAAACATAAAGATGGAAATCTAATGAAGATGATTGCATAGGGTTTGCGATACGTACGAATGTGAACCAGCCAGTGGTGTTGGCGGCCAGTACTAAGCCGTTCTCCCAGATGCAGGGCGCTTTGCTGTGCTGGTGCATTCCACATACGAACGACTGAGGCTCACGCCGCGGGTCTACCAGCTGGAATTCCAACAAAGTACAGCATCAGTTTAAGGGTTGGTGCTAAGTATAGGGCGCCCCAAAATGTACGGTAGATGCAATTCACAGAATCTAACTACTTAACAAGTTTCAACAGTATGGTGGTAGATACTTAGGTTCTTAATTAAAATGACTTATGCAATTTCTTGGAAAGAATAATATACATACACAAGAATAAAAAGGTTTCGCTCTAATAAAAAATTGGCTGATTTTATTTTCACATATAGATTTATAATTATTTTTTGTAGTTTATTTTTTTTACTTTACTGTTTATTACATTTTTTCTACTTTATTGCACCGACCATATTCTCACTGCATCACCCAAAGGTTGGCTACCAAGAATGCCTGTAGTACTTTGTGCTACAAGTTAAATAAATAATTAAATGTAGATTGAGATACTGCCGTTAGCCCTATATTTTCTGATTGCAGGCGTTTGAAATTGACCTTTTACCTTTGCAGGTATTTTATAAAATGTAATTATTGTATTCAAATGTATTAAATTTATTTTGTGGACATAAAGACGCTGATAAAATAACTTGAAACTAAGATTGATATGACGGAGCCGTTTTACTATTTCTGTCATAACGTAGTAGCCTGAAAGAATCCTACGTTAAAAAAATCGAACACAGACATAACCAGAATAAACGTACAGACGATGCAAGAAAAAAAACAAAGGTTGTCAAGTTCTCTTTAATGGTGTACCTTAAGGCAGTGTTTTGGGTCCTGTATTATCATTGATATCAGTGACCTACCCAAATATATTCACCGATGCGTGATTTTATATTCTGATGATAATATTATTAACATAGACATTTATAACGATGTTATTAGTAATTCATTAATTTCAATGTAACAATTTCAAGAAAACAACCATTGGAATAAAGCAAGTCAAAGTCAAAAGTCAAAAATAATTTATTTCAAGTAGACTCCTACAGGAAGTTTTGAACGTTAAACAAAATTTTGAAGATAAAGTGTCAGTCATCTGGGTGGCGTAAGAGGTCAGTCCTCTTAGTGAAGCCATTTGCTCGTTCCAAAGTGTAGATTCCAATGGAGAAGAACGAACAAGAGACTCTATGGTTACTCTTTTTAAATCAGTTCACATACAGATTCCTTATACAAACAGTTGGATCAATTATGTGAGAACAGTGTAACATTAATATTTATTCAGAGAAATATAAAAAGAATATTACCAAGGACAATAGATAGTCCGGAACTGACCAGTCTCAACTGACGTCGCCCGTTCACTACACCAGCATCACCCAACTAAACCATGTTATAGGGAATTGAGCGATCCAGTATCCCTGCCGACGCCAACTCTAAGCTGACAATGCTAATAAATCAAATATTTTGCACTTTGCTCAGAGAAGTAGGGTAAGGGGTTTTAAGTGTGGGAGAGCCATGCTTCGGTACGAATGGGTCGGCTCGACCGGAGTGATACCATGGCCTCACAGAAAACCGGCGTGAAACAACCACAGCCTTGTGTTTCGCCGTGTGAGTGAGGTTACCGGAGACCTAATCCTTCCCCTCGCCCAATCCCTCTTCAATCCCTAAATCTCCAAATCCCTAATCCCTAAAAGGTCGGCAACGCACTCGTAACTCCTCCGTTGCGGGTGTCCATGGGCGGCGCTAATTGCTTACCATCAGGTAATCCGTCTGCTCGTTTGCCGACATATCATATACCCAAAATATGATTTAATTTGATGCACTACTCACGCCCTCTTTCTTGTAGAACTGGTCACACTGCTGGTTCTCCAGCGATTGGATCTTGTAAACAATTTTCTCCAATTTATCGTTATCTGTAACAATATAATACGACAAATTTCGTAAATAAGACGAAATTCATAGCGTTAAGGTACCTACCTAATTTAATTTACAGACTAGATACCCCTGGTTTCTGAACGTCTAGAACTAAACCCGAACGTACATCGGGTCCTGTTCCAAGTGCTCTTCAAATAGTCATCATTCCACAGACGTGGCCCATTAGGACCGATGCCCAGCCGGGGTTGCAGGTGCAATTGTACTAATGTACCGCAGCCCGGAGTAGGGGAATATGCAGTGTAGATTTGAGTTGTTAGCCAGGTGCCACAATCTTTAAGTGTGGGAGAGCCATGCTTCGGCACGAATGGGTCGGCTCGACCGGAGTGATACCACGGCCTCACAGAAAACCGGCGTGAAATAACCACTGCGTTGTGTTTCGCCGTGTGAGTGAAGCTACCGGAGGCCCAACCCTTCCCCTTCCCCAGTCCCTCCTCAATCCCTAAATCTCCAAATCCCTAATCCCTAAAAGGTCGGCAACGCACTCGTAACTCCTCCGTCTGCTCGTTTGCCGACCTATAAAATAAAAAAAAAATCCTTCCACGCTTCCCATCATACCAGTCCATAGTAATTCACACCAATAGTCTTATTCCTTGTTTCCAATATAACTGGTGACTGTCCTTGGGTGCATTTTAATAGTGCATACAGGGATAGTCGCTGGTTTTTGTCCCATTTCCTTTAGATTAAAGTTGTCTAAAGGGCCTCTGCGCAGTTGCCTCCGGCCCCTCTTACGCCTCCCAAATGACCAGGACCCTATGGTTCAGTAATTGGTTAAGACATACAAATAATAATTAACACTAAAAGGCGTTGCACCGTATAAACCCCGGAGTTACTGAAGACTGAAGGGACCCAATCATCATCATCATCATCAGCCTATAAGTGCCCACTGCTGAGCAAAGGCCTCTTCTCACATGGAGAAGGTTTGAGCATTAATCACCACGCTTGCTCAATACGGGTTGGCGATTTCAAACTTATAATTAGAAATTATAAGTCCAGGTTTCCTCACGAAGTTTACCTTCTCCGCATGTCAGTGGTGTCTAAATAATCATAGAAAGTACATATAACTAGGAAAAAGTCACATTGGTACTTGCCCGTTTTCGAACCCACACCCTCAAAGAAGAAAGAAGAAGAGAAGAAGGGACCCAATATAACTTACAGGTGTAAATGGTTGCAGCGGGAAGGTGTAAGTCAGGTAAAAATCTCACACTTCCTAATCTTTTCCCTGAAAGCTGGGCGCCTTTTGATTGATATTCATAAGTATGTATAACACAAGAAAATGTCTTACCGTCTGTATATCCAAAGAGGTGAAGTCCACCAGTGTCGTACATCGTGTTCGAGAAGCATATTGGAGTCAGCGGACCTGTTTATGATAATGTACGAATATTATATTTTGCTTAAACAAATATAGGCTGAAGGAAGTACTCAAAACGCAAATTTACTGGACGTAAGTATGGAAGAGCCAAGCTACAGCTCGAATGGGTCACCTCAATTGAGGTGACATCATTGCCTTATCGAAAACCAGCGTGAAACAAACACAGCGTTGTATTTCGCCGTGTGAGTGAGGTTACCGGAGACCCAATCCTCGGCTAACACAAGACTTGAACTTGGATAAAAGTGTATTAAGTGTGACTGAAACTGACGGTATACCCAAATATTATTCTTTACCACCAGTGGCGGTTAAAAACCGTGTGAAAGGTAATATTCCTGTTCCAAGATTTGCTCGATTAATAAAATATTTTTACTATTTAAAGTTGGTAAAAAAACATTAGGCAGTAATTGTATAGTAACCATCTTGAGACATACCAAACGTGTGTTTAATTGAGAAAAGCCCAACTTTTGAAGCCACAACGGGACTGTTGTTCATGAGCAGCGTGCGTTATGTAGCGAGGTCGCGGGAAGAGTCTCATTGGGTCTTAAAGCTAGTAGAACTCCTCTCAAATAATACAAAAGAATTCTCTGTGAGGTTTGTGGTCAGGTCATGAAGACCATGGATACTTTAGATAGCTTACTAATGTTCGGTACAGCGAGTTTGACGACGGCAATGGAGCTGTACACAGCGGTGTCGTACTCTGGGTGAGTGACGAAGGAGAGCGGCCTATAGTACACTGGCACGCCATCTCTCGATAAGAACATGGCTCTACTCTCCTCTCTGGAACAATAATCAGACATTTTCTTTGATCAGATATATAACACTGCACTGATGAGCATAATTTCCATGCCATGCTTCGGCACGAGTGGGTCGGCTCGGATACCACAGCCTCACAGAAAACCGGTGTGAAACAAGCACAGTATTGTATTTTGCCATGTGAGTAAGTCTACGGGAGGCCCAGCCCTTCCCCTTCTCCAATCCCTAAATCTCCGATAGCCTAAACCCCAAAAGGCAGGCACTTGTAACTTCTGTGTTGTTGTGAGCATCCAAGGGCGGCACCCATTGCTTACCGTCAGGTAACCCGCGTTTGCTGACCTATAATAAAAAAGTATAATACCTAGAATATTAGACACTATACACGTTTATACAATACTTATTGCTCTAATGAAACTTGTAGGCACTTGTAGGTAGCGCGTATATTGTAGGTAGAACAGAAATTAGTTTTCATGCAGCAAGCTTCAGCATGTAAGCAAGTATGCAACATGCAGCAGGCAGGGTTTCTGAGACGGCTCCGACGGGGCGGGCTTACGGCGCCCCCACGCGTGCTAGACGTCGCAGGCACCTGCCAGTCAGCCAGCCTGTCTTGTCTCTACGCGCCTACGCGTTTTTAAATAACACTCTAGGACAAACGGAACTTTTTGTTTTCGGTTTTGCAGCAATTCGTTTCTGTCAATAACTTTTTTGCACAGCATAAAGTCAATAAGTCAAAATAATTTATTTCAATTAGACCCATACAGGCACTTTTGAACGTCAACACAACTTTAAAGATACAAAGTGTCGGTCTGTCGGTCAGTCCTCTTAGTGAAGCTATTCGCTCGTTCCAAAGTGTAGATTCCGATGGAGAAGAACGAGCAAGAAACTCCATGGTTATTCTTTTAAAATCAGTGTCACATAAACATTCTTTGATACATTATTTAGTTAGTTTGAATATGTGAGAACAGTGTAACGCGTGTATACAGAGAAACATAAAAAGAAAATAACCTTAAGGACAATAGACAGTCCGGAGCTGACCAGTCCCAATTGACGGCGCCCGTTCACGAGCATGACACGTACACCAGCATCGCCCAACTCAACCATAATATAGGGAATCGAGCGATCCAGTGACCGTGCCACCGCCAATGTGACCTTTGAGTGAGCATGACAACTCCAAGCTGACATATGGACCGACATTCTGCTAGTCTAACTAATTTTAATAGGTTACAGGGCACTCACATTTACAAATTTATCAAGTTTAACAATAAAAATAGCATGGTTACAAATTTACAAAATCTAAGAACTTCCGTTCAAGCAAAGATCCACTGGAACATTATTTATATTCGTGTAGGTATATTATCCTGTGGAGCAGGACCAGCCCGTCTCCAAGCATCCTTATCCTCAATATAATCACTCAGTTTGTAATATGCTTTTTAACACAAAGTTTTCTTTACACATAATTTAAAATTTCTTTCATTTAATTATTGTATTTCGCCTGAGATTTTGTTATAACACTTAACGCTGAATCCCATGAACGACTTATGTACCTTTGCCAATCTAAATAATGGCTGACACAATCTATCTCTATGTCTAGTTAATTTTTATACCAACAATATTATTTGATTGTTACAGAAATATAGCTAATTGGTTTGCTCATAATGTTGTATTGGGCACTACAAATTCACCACCACCACTACTTGTTTTAGGCCTACTAACGTTATGCAAATCAAATTTATGCCGAAATATTATTATTCCAAAACAAATTGTGTCAAAATCTTTATGCCGCAGTATATAAGGACAAAGAATATTATGCGAAAAAAAGGATCTCAATCTATGCATAATAATATATCAATCGGGCACGTCAGCCATTACTGACACCACTGTATCCTTACATTTGGACAATAAAGAAGGTTGTCAACTTTACGAAGACAAAAACCTCTTTTGGGGGGACAAAGATAACATGATTTATTTGATTTTTGAGGGTGAAAACCATTAAGTGATTTCGTCTGCCTTGGTTAAAGCGAGAGGGAGCGTCAGATTCTTAACGACTTCAAATGAAAACTATCCTGTTCTTTCTCCTATTCCGGCCGGGGCCACGGTAGGTATATGATTGCTCTTGCAGCCACAATCTCGAGTGGCTTTAATCCAAATCCGAAAACTAATGTTTTCAAAATACCCATCGATCACTAATAAAGAACTAGATACACAATCAGTGACAAAAAAATGTCCTAACTGAAAGTCCACCAAACTCAACATCGCGGTGTAGTTTTAGTTTAGTACCACTCGAATGCTCCGACGGTAAACACGCCTCAGTGCTCGTTTAAAAACTGCAAAAAACGCACATCTAAGATGCAAAAAAGGATGGAATTTCATACTTTCGTTAAGTAATAATATTATCATTATATAATTACCCAATAATCCGACCCCTACTGAACCAGGTTATGTTACCCATCGACGAAAAACACCCCAAAGCTCTTCTTTTGACCTAATGAACGAAATTCCGCTAACAGACATGACAACCAGTTCGCTAAGGGAAATAAGTAAACAAGAAATCACTCATGCAGTCGAGAACATAATGAAAATTGTTCCTGTACTAACAGGAACAATTTAGCAAGATTGATAATATGATGTTGGAATTCCAGAAATCCTTGTCATTTTTTTACGAAAAGTACGATGAGATTAAGCTGGCATTGGATGAAAAATGCTCCACAATACAAAAACTCGAAAAAAGTAACATCGAACTAGGGAAATCCCTCGACTATGTAACCAAACGCTTGAACAGCTTGGAACAACACACAAGATCTAACAATGTCGAAATACAATGTATACCTGAAAATGGACATGAAAATCTGGTAAATAGAGTTCTCCAGCTGAGCAAAGTAGTTAAATGCGATTTAAAGGAGACAGATGTACAGCTTTGTACAAGAATTGCTAAAAGAGATTCGAATAACCAGAGACCCCGCTCAGTTCTCCTTAAACTCGGCAACCCTCGATGAAGGGACACCTTTCTTGCAGCATGCATAAACTACAACAAGGCAAACCCTAAAACCAAACTTAACTCTAGTCATCTCGGCATAGCTACGGACAAACCTGTACCAATATTCGTCACTGAACACCTTTCCCCGGAGAATAAGTCACTACACGCCGCAACGCGGGCACGGGCTAAGGAGCTTGGTTACAAGTTCGTATGGGTCCGTAATGGAAGATTTTTTATAAAAAAGGACGAAATCTCACAGGCTATTGTTATAGGTGATAAGAAAAAATTTAAATGTCTAATCTAGTATATGTTGTATTGTGTTACCTAGTATCATTTTAGGCAGGATATTCGTTAACATTGTAAAAATTCGATTGCATTAATTGTTTCTACCAAAACACACGTAGTCTGCGTGGTAATATATCTGAAGTACGTCAACAGATTCATGATAACAAGTACGATGTCTATGTCTTTACCGAAACCTGGCTTTGCGACGGTATATTTGATTCGGAATTATTTGATGACTCTTATACTGTATACAGAAGGGATAGGGAAACGTCTTCTTTAAATAATCATAAGAAATTAGGTGGCGGGGTCCTTATAGCAGTAAATAACTCGTTAACATCATATCGTAAAACTGAGTGGGAAAGTAATTGTGAAGACCTATGGATTACGATCGAAACCAAATCAAATGCAGTGAAGAAGTCCTTAAAGTTATGTGCGGTCTACCTACCCCCTCCGGTAAGTACAGATGTATTTGAACACTTCCTTGACAATTGTAACACAGTCATTGAATCCAGTAGCGATAGTTTGACATTACTAATGGGTGACTTTAATTTGAGCTGCATAGATTGGAGTTATGATGCTGGTAGTGAGTCCTGCTTAGCTTCTACAAATGGTTTAGGCTATCTAACGAACCTCCTTCCTGATTTTCTAGCACTTCATAATTTAAAGCAGCACAACTGGATTAAAAATTATCAAAGTAAAATGTTAGACTTAGTAATCTCTGATCTTGATAAAATTAAAATAAATAACTGTCTATCGCCGATAAGAGATCTGGATAAATATCATCCTGCATTGGATATTGTATTCAGTCTCCCTAAGTGTTTTAGAAAAGACCAAAAAATTATCAGGAAACCAAATTATTATAAAGCTGACTACGAGTCAATATATAGTGATCTAAAAGGCATTGACTAGCAAGTCGAATTCTCATCGTGCACTAATGTAAATGAAAAGATGGATAGATTTTACTCTATTATTAACCATATCATCAATAAATATGTGCCTAACACGGAACACAAACGCGGTAAATACCCACCTTGGTACTCCAGTCAACTAAAGAAATTATTGAAGCAAAAACTGAAGCTTCAACAAAGGGTCAAAACTTACAATAATGCGTTAAATAAAGTAGAGTTTGACTATTTGAGAAAACACTTACTAAATTATGCTACAATAATTACATAACGGAAATCGAAAATAAAATAAAGGGACACCCAAAATTCTTCTGGACACATATTAAGAACCTCCGTAAGAACAGTTCAACATACCCTTCGGCTATGTACCTTGGTGATGAATGTGCTACCGGTGGTAAAGCCATTTCGGATTTGTTTGCCAAACAGTTTTGTTCAGTATATGACCTGCCAGGTCTTCCCGTGCAAAATATTATGCCTTCTGCACCGATCCCAGTTTTGCCCATGAATGACATTGTAATACCCCCTGACGCGATTCAGAAGAAGCTTTCCGGCCTAGATGTATTTAAGGGTGCAGGACCGGATAACATACCTCCGTTGTTCTGGTCAAGATGTGCTCGTTTTATATCCGACCCACTAGCGAATATTTTTAATATGTCACTTAAAACGGGTACGTTTCCAAGTGCTTGGAAAAGAGCGAGAATCGTACCTATTCACAAAAACGGGAAACGAGAAATAATATCCAATTATCGTCCTATCTCAATCCTTTGCACGTTGTCGAAGGTATTCGAGTCGTTGGTGTACCCGGTGTTATACAGACACGTTAGCAATCATCTTACCACCAATCAACACGGGTTTATGAT